GGAAGAAAACCACCAAGCTCAGAGAGCACCAAGGACAGCCACAGTCCTTCTCCTCTTCTCTGCAAACCCCGGTTCTAGCACTGATGAGGTTCCCTAGTTGGGCCATGAAACATCTGGAAGAAAACCACCAAGCTCAGAGAGCACCAAGGACAGCCACAGTCCTTCTCCTCTTCTCTGCAAACCCCGGTTCTAGCACTGATGATGTTACTTAGTTGGGTCATGAAATGCCTTCAAGGAAATCACAAAACTCAGAGAGCACCGAGGACCCCAGAGTTCTCCTCCTCCTCTTCCCCTCCTCCTCCTCCTCCTGTCCTAAACACCCTCCCTTCTAGCACTGATGATGTTACTTAGTTGGGTCATGAAATGCCTTCAAGGAAATCACAAAACTCAGAGAGCACCGAGGACCCCAGAGTTCTCCTCCTCCTCTTCCCCTCCTCCTCCTCCTCCTGTCCTAAACACCCTCCCTTCTAGCACTGATGATGTTACTTAGTTGGGTCAAGAAATGCCTTCAAGGAAATCACAAAACTCAGAGAGCACCAAGGACCCCACAGTTCTCCTCCTCCTCTTCCCCTCGTCCTCCTCCTGCTGTCCTAAACACCCTCCCTTCTAGCACTGATGATGTTATCCACTTGGGTCAAGAAATGCCTTCAAGGAAATCACAAAACTCAGAGAGCACCAAGGACCCCACAGTTCTCCTCCTCCTCTTCCCCTCGTCCTCCTCCTGCTGTCCTAAACACCCTCCCTTCTAGCACTGATGATGTTATCCACTTGGGTCAAGAAATGCCTGCAAGGAAGCCACCAAGCTGAGAGAGCACCAAGGACGCAACGGTTCAACCCTGACCTACCCATCTTCTGTTGGGACAGTGGCTCCCAAGGTGACTTTTTTCTTTAATTAAGAGATTTCTATGGGAAAATCAGGAAAAGGACAGACTGGCCGCGGAGAAGTATTTCCCCAAGCACAGATAAGCAACCTCTGCTCCCCTCTTCCTCCATTCCCCACCAACTGCACCCCAGACTGCAGGGTGGGGTTGTACGGGGAGATATATAGTCATAACAACATTCCTTTCTCCAAGAGTCAAGGACAGCTTGACCTGCATCTGGAGGGGTGTGACTGGGAGGCATCTCCAGTTGGGATGGGGCCTGATTGGACCATGTGAGCTCTGGGCAGGGACGTGGGGAAAACCTGGAGCCTTTCAGATTTGGGTTTTCCCAGATGTGCCAATATGGACCCCTCATAAAATGGAGTCTTCTTTCCTTGGGGGGGTTTCATCTGGAACCACGACACAGAAACCTGCAGAGGATTAGCTACAAGACGGGCGTCCCAGATATAAAGCCAATTTCCCAATGGATTTAATTCACTCACTTTGTCTCCTCAATGCTGAGCGAAGCGTCTCCTCCGGACGAAGACTTCGAGCTAACCGCTATTTGGGGATGAAGACAGGGAGAGAAATTAGTCAGCACCGGGTAAAGATTGTGAGTTGGCAACTATCTCATGAGTTTGGGTTTTTTTTGCACAACTTGATCCCCAAAATGGTCAGATTTCAGTTCCTTTTGGGAGTTTTGAGACCGGTCTACTCCAAAGAGAAAACTGAAGGGCCTGTACAGTTGGCACCTCAGAGACACCCACCAAGGAAATAGCTCTGAAACAGGTGTCCTACTTGAGGAAGGACAATGCAATATGAATATTCAATTTTTAAAGGCTAGGAATATTCTCTCTTCAGCAACCTCTTCCACAGCTTAATTTAATTTAGTTATCAATTCAGCACACCACGGTTTGATCGCACCCACGGATTCTCTCCAATCCACTTTGGCTGCCAATTTAGATCTTGCCGTGTAAGCTGGGATTTTCGCAGCACCGAATGCTTTAAGCCAGTGTTTCTCAACCTTGGCCACTTGGGTTTACAACCTGTGGACATGGCTCTCTCAGGAATTCTGGGAGTTGAAGTCCACTAGTCGTACAGAGGCCATATTTGCCATCCCTAAGGACATACTTGTCTTCCCTCAACTTCCTTTGAGCCTCACCATTCTGACTTAAAGTCAGATTCCTATTTATTTTATTTATTTATTTATTAGACTTATATACCGCTTCATAGGGCTTTCAGCCCTAAGCGGTTTACAGATTTTTAGCAAATTGAGTCAGCAAATTGCCCCCAACAATCTGGGTCCTCATTTCACCCACTTCGGAAGGATG